ATGATTTGTTGCTAGAGCAATTCTGTAATAAAATTCTGCAATAAAAGTGATGTTTCTTTGAAAAAGCTATGCCTTCAGAACATTTCTTGCCTTTGGATACAGGTTTTTTTTTTTTTTCTCTCTTTCCCCATCTACTTTCCCGACACCAAATAATATTATCAAATTCTGCTATATAAGTGTAATAGACTTAGGAGCAAACTATACAAAAGTGAGCATATTTTTGTCCACTAGTCAGATTCAACCTATTGAATCTGCTAATTGCTGTGACCTATAAGTAAATTGACCAAAACAGATCTGAACATCTTCAGGTTCACCCACAAGTCCACAATAGAGATATCAATATTATGAAAGTCAAGGATTCATTCCACTCTTTTGTGAATCCCTAGTTATGGGGAGGAAAAGGAGCCATGCTGTTCTTCAAGAAGGAGATCAACCATCTCCCTTTGAACTGTAGGAACTCTGCTTGAAGTTGGAAGGAGGCTTGCTGGAGAGAGCCAAGGCAAGAATGATAAAACCACCAAATGGTGAACACACCCTTCATTAGCAATCGAAATAGATGGCCAGGCTGAGTAGTTCCTTATTTGGGGAGTGGTAAGAATCTTCCCATCTTTTTGGTCCGGGGAGCATTCCTGTCAGAAGACAAGAACAGAAAAGGTAAACCCAAAGGTGGACATGTCCTCTACAATCATACAGTTATTCCACTGATAATGGTGCTGCTAGCAGACCAAAAAGAGGCCAAAGGCAATCAATGGATAAAAGTTTGGCACTGGCTGGGTAGGTACAGGTTCTATACAGTGAGCCTTAATGCTGAGTTATGTCACCTTTTTCAAATAGTCCCACTCCAAGCTCCAGTAGGATTTGACCAATGCCACCATTCCACAACATACAGCCAAGCTTTATGTTGCCTTCTGCTAATACTCACAAAGGTGGCAAAGTGGTACCCATGCAGTTACGAAGCTTGTTTGGAAAGCAGCCGTTTCCTGGGCTCATCTGGACAGTGCTGGTTTCTGGAGAAACAAGAGGATGGAAGAACTGGTCTGTGCATAAAGAATCAGGGAAAATTAGGCTCATTCCCTTAACATCTTTGCTTTTCAGGATTACCAAAACAGCAATGCTTCCCATGCCATCTCCTTGAGTTAACTCACCTTGCTCATTCATTACAATGGACTCCTGTACTGGGACAAGGTTTTCTTGCTCTTCTTCTATAAAATGCTTCCAAAATTTGAGTGGCAATGCTAGGAGACGGGAGACCACCTATAGAAAGGAAGTAGCATTAGCCTCTGTCCCCCCGCCTTTAGCTGGCTCATATCTCAAAATATATGATTATGAATATATTGCATGGATTCCATTTAAAGCAGTAAGTTGTTGATCATGGTAGAAAGGAACATTTGTCATCCTTCTCCCTTTAGGCACTGAAGAGAACAGGATGACACTATCACAAGCCAATGTTTTACATTACATCTTTCAATTTATTTCATTAAGTCTGATCAGAACAGTGACAGAAGTTCATAGCAATGTACATGGGATTGCATACTCCATACTTACAGAAGTTTGAACTGGGCAACTTCTGAAAAGTTATGCTATTATTCCTTTAAAACAATGCAAATTGTGCTCAGTGAGAAGCAAAAAAGGAGGCTAAGGAGAATGTTCACTACAACTCAGCTATCAGGTCTTGCCTTCTTCTCACAATATGCTCTCCCAACCCATCCCACAAGAGATAAGTTAGTGCTATACAAAGGAATCAATCCTATAAAATCAAGCATTTCAGATAAAGACTGAGCAGTGTGCAGTGCTGTGCCACTGAAAGCCGAAATAAATTGGAGAGAGGTCACATCTGTTACCAGGCACTGGCGTGGTGTATCTTCCATGATGGCAAGTGGGCTGGGGCTGGGAGTGCTGTGTCCAACTAGTGTTGGTCCAAAGATACGTGCCAAGTTATGGCAGTCCATTCGACACTCAGGGCTCTGCACGACCCTGTGAATGGAGAGATGGATCCATGGAAACAGTAGCACATGCCACAGCAGAAGCTTTCTAATTCATATTATTAGCCATTCCTAAAATGTGTTTGATGGGCAGAAGCTCTGTTTCACACACCAGGACGAAGGACGTGTATTCACACATGAAGCCAAGTTTGCTTCAAAGCTAGTACCTAAACCTTTCACTAGAAGAGAAATCTTTCCTTTTCTTTTAGAGTGCTGAAGGTATCTACAATTTGAATAAAAACCATAATTTTGCAATAGGAGATTATGAACTCCAAATGAGTTTTAAAACAGTTACTACTGTACATAACCATGAATTTTTTTATGGAAAAAGGGGAAGTATCCACAATAGCCCAACATCTGCGCAATAGTAGGTACAGTAAATAACAACTATACTTCAACATAATTTTAACAACTATGGTCATGATGTCAGGAAAGTATTGGGGTCTCATTCCAGCAAATCTAGAAAGCAAAAGATTGGGAAAGATTCAACTAGATGCTGAGACAGCTTCCATGAGCAAGCTGTTTGCACAAGAAAAAAGTTTAAGATATGGATCTCTGCCAACTAGTTGAGCTAGTTCTTTGCTTAAAAAGAGGGGGGGGGGACAGATATCACTATCATCCTAACATGCAATCCAACTCAATACATTTACAATTGTGAAAATATCTGCTACTTCATTGCAGACTGACCTAAATAGGCAGTCAATAGTTATACTTTTGGCAAGACAGACAAAACACTTGTGCAAATTTGTGCTTCAGTTTTACAAATCTGTAACTAGTTTCCTAAAGGGAGGTAGGTTCCAACTTCAAAGGAGGACTTGAAGCTTCTAGAAGACAGATGCACGTCAGCAGAAAACGTTCTGATTTTTCATTTCCTGCATCAAGCAGGAAATTGGCCTGGGTGACCTGTAAGAGCTCTCTCCCAGCTCTGTGATTCTAAGCTTTTCCCTTCCAAGCCTAAAGTTGTGCTCACCTATGCAGATGGAGCATGAGAAAAGCTAGGGTGTCTCTATTAGTCAGAGGCAACTTCATGACAACACGGCAGAGTTCAGTATGGCAGGCAGATTCATCCAGAATTTCTGAGTGGAGAGAAAGCGTGATGGTCCTTAATGCCTTTCTGAGTCATCCAAAGTGTTCAGCCATTTAACCTCATCCCTTTTTCATAAATGATTTTTTTCCTAATGAAACTAGAATCACTTAAGGCATAGGACCTTAATTGTATAGTGATCCAGAAAGAAAGTAAAAGGTCTCCAGGAGCCAAGCACCCACGTTCCCCTTAGTTGCTTCCACCTCAGAGCATTATCTGAGAATCCTATCCCAACTCACCTGCCGCACGCAGGAAGGCAGAGCGCAGGCAAAAGGTAACTAAAGGCTCTTTCAGACTCCTCAGGAAATCCTTGAGGATGCCACAGATCACATTCACATCAGCCACATAGTCAAGTGAAGGAAGAGCTTCGTGGGCACAGAGCAGTTTATATTTCCATTCACGCACAAGGGGTTCTGCACCTGGCACTCTGTATAGTCCAGCCTAGAGGTGAGTAAAAGGTCAGGGAAATAATTACAAGGATGTGTAACATCCACTAGAGTTGACCCTAACCAAGAATTTCAGCTTGCAATCAATGACATGAGTCAAAAATCAGAGCACTACACCTCCAAATCACCTAAGTAGACATAGGCATGGCAGGGGAACTGAAGCCCCCTCCCTTGGATCTGGGAGGAAGGCCTTGCTCCTGAGGAGACCAGACACCTCAAGGACAATTGCAACTGCTTGAACAGCTTCATCACAAACACCCTTAAACAAGGGAGTAATAACACTTCCCAAAGAATCCTTTGTAGGGTCTTCACAGTTAGAAATAGACGCTCTCATCAAAATTTTATTTATTTAGCATATGTATTTATGCTAAATATTTATAAATAAATAAAAATATATTTATACATTTATATAATATATACAATGTTATTATCTTCACCTTTGTTACCAAGTGACTACCTGGATCATAGCCTGTTGGATTTTCTACACATGCCTCACATGCTAAAATGTATATAACCGATATACAGCTGCAAGAAAAAGTATGTGAACCTTTTGGAATTTCATGGTGTTCTGCATTAATTTG